CATGAGAGCGAAGCATCATAGGGTGAGAATGTGGAACAGGGGAGGTAGGACGAGCACGAGACGGAGGACGAGACCAGATGTGAGACGGAGGAGTCGGGTCAGGAGAGAGGGGAGGAGACACAGGAGGAGAACGGGGAGGGAAACGAGACAGAGAGGAGTCCGGGGGAGGAAACACGTGGTCGTGGACTGGCAGAGGAGGCGGCGGCGGCAGCGGGGGAGGCAGCGACGGGCGGTCAGGAGAGGGGAGACCGAGGAGGCGAAGAGCGGACACCGGTGGCAACAGCTGCGATTGCTGCCCGACACCAACGCCAGAACCTCCAGCGACAACACGGCGCCCTCTGAGAAGCCCCACGCCAGCACCCCCAAAGTCCGCTCCAGAACCAGCTCCAGCCTGCTCCCCAGCAGCCCTAGAATGCACGAACCCTAGCGGCGGTGACGACGACGGCTGCGGCTGCAGTGGCAGCGGCGAAGGCGTCTGCGGCGGGGACAGCAACAGCGGTGACATGGGAGGCGAGACCGGGGCAGGGACAGGCGGGGGAAGAGACTCCGCCGAGCCGCGAGAGTCAGCAGACTCCTCACTAGGGACAACCGAAGAGAGGGGGGTCACGTGAGTCACACCAGACAAGGCAGGGTGGGGAGGGGGGTGGACAGGGTCGACCAGGGGAGGGGGGGCCACAAGGAACAAGGGGGGAGTGACTGGGGGACCACGGTGGGGAGAGATGTGGTAGAAGGAGACGGACTCGTCAAAAGTGACGTCACGAGAGTAAAAGAAACGGTGAGAAGGCAGGTGGTAGAACTGCCAGTCCGACGAGTCGAGGGGGAAACCTAGGAAGACACAGGGGACAGTGCGGGTAGTGAGCTTGTCCATGCCAGAGGCACGAACGTGAGCAAGGCAGCCCCAGACGTGGAACGCAGACTCCTCACCAGGGGACCCGGTCCAGAGGAGGTTCGGTGAAACCTGCGACCGCAAAGGGTGCGGCCACAGGTTAAGCTGGTGAGAGGCGTAGCGAACGGCGAACGGCCACAGAAAATGGGGTGCACCAGCATGGATCATGGAGGTACGAGCAACCTCTATGACCAAACCAATGCGACGCTCAGTGACGCCATTCTGCTGCGGGGAGTCCGGCAGGGTGAACGTCTGGGTGATGCCCTCTGCACGACAGAAGCGACCAAGGCAGCCAGAGGCAAACTTGCCACCATGGTCGAAGTGAAGACGCAAGACAGGGAGACCTCGGTGAACACACGCAGAGACAAGCCACGGGAGAAGAACGTCAGGCACGTTGGCCTTCTGCTCCAGGGGGAAGACGGTGGTGTAGCGGGTGTAGTCGTCGACAAGCACTAGGAAGTAGCATGGGGGCGGGGGCGGGGCCCCAGACGTCCATGTGCAGGGTCGTCGTAACGCGGCCCATGGACGGGGGCGGGGCCCCAGACGTCCATGTGCAGGGTCTGCAGCGGTGCGGAGGTAGGGGGGAACGAGGAGGAGTGAGGGGCACGGCGGAGCCGGCCTTCGATGAGGGCATGCACGGAGGCGCGGGTGAGGAGGGGAGCATAGGGAAAGACTCAGGGAGGCCTAGGACAAGACGGTGCTGGGACATGTGACGGAGACGGTTGAGGGCGGGGTGACCTAGACGGTGGTGCCACAGAAGTGATGGGTGAGTAAGCGACCGACACGAGCACGCCGCAGCAACCTGGGAAGACGCAGGTAATTGGGGAGGCATCCCAACTGGGGGGGAAGCAGTGTCCAGCGTGAACAGGCCAGACACCGGGTCCCAGGGAACGTGGTGAGGGGGGCACCAGTGGTGGCCTCAGTACAGACAGCGTACCACTCGTGCCCAGGGAACGTAGTGGTGACGCCAAGGTCCTGGAGGCAGCCGACACCAACTATGTTCCTAGAGAACGAGGGGATGTGCATGCCTATAAAGGAGCCTGAGGGAACCGCCAGACAGGGGAGAGTAGTGGAGCTACGAGCAACTACAGGACCAGAGGAAGGGTTTGCAAGAGCAACTGCAGCAGGAGCGGCAAGTGGCGTAAGTGTAGTGGAGTCGCGAAAGAAACACTGGGAAGCGCCGGAGTACAGGGTGAAGGAGAGCGCGGCAGCGGCGACAGAGGTCGGAGGAGCGAGGGAGGACCCGAGGCTAAACAAGGCGGGGGATCCTATGCCTGACGCAGCAGGGGAGCCTGAACTAGGCACACTGGGCACACCTACGCTAGGCAACACAGGGTAATAGGAACCAGTCACACTAGAGTCATCAACATGCAGCGTATACAAAGCAGAGCTAATCTCATCCACACTAAAGTTCTGAACATGACGACAGAGCAGAATGTGCCAGTCCGGGAGGTCAGGCGACGGGCCGAAGCGGAGACGAAATAGGTTGTCTAGGCGACGAAAGCAACGAGCGGAGGTATGACCGATCTTACCGCACACGAGGCCGCGGCGAGGACCGGTCTGGAGTTGGTACTGGCAGCGCCCGTCACTCTGACTACCACCCGACGGCACGCCGCGCGAGCGACCACTGTGACTACCGTCACCTACAGCTCTAGGCCATCCGGGCTGGAGATAGCCGACCCTCCGCTGCTACTGCTGCTGGTGCTGCTAGTCCAGCTGCGGCACCTGCTGCTGCTGCTAGTCCAGCTGCGGCACCTGCTGCTGCTGCTGCTGCTGCTGGGGCTGCTGCTCAGGGGCACCAGCCCCAGCCCCCTCGTCAGTACTACCAGCGGGCGAGCCACCTCCACCACCGGCACCACCCCCTCCTCCACTACCTCCGCCGCTCCCAGCCTTGGGGCGGCGACCCTTACCTGGACAAAACTGCACTGCGGCGGCTGTCTCAACAGCCGGAGCTGTCTCAGCAATCGCGGCAGAACCGTCGGAGTAAGAGCACTGAGCAGGGGCACAGCCCTGAAAGATACAGACCAGCAAGGTACCGCTAGACTGGGCGATAGAGTGCTAACGGGTCTCTATGGCAGACAGGGTGTCGACAAAGTCAGTGAGGGTGAGGTCAGCGTTGTGGAGACTAAGAAAGTGATCGCGGGCGGTGGCAAGGCGGTCAGGGAGGCGGGTGGCAAGCAGGTAGAGGGTAGAGCAGATGGCGGGCTGAAACGCACGATGCTGGGCATCGGTGCAGGAAGCACGCCAATCGTATCTATCGTGCGCAGGTGGGCGGCTAGGTCAGCGATAGTGGGGAAAGACGCAAGGTCAGGAAAGAGCATGGGCAGGATCAGGCGACCTACGGAGGCAGAGGGCGGGGTGGAATAGCTCGCAACAACAGCCTCTAGGAACTCTTGTGCAGTCCTGATCGACCTAAAGCGAGGGCGCTCAGACAGGGGAACGGCATGACTAATCGCAAGCTGTGCAACCGTGTCACGCGACAACCAGACCGCACGGGCAAGGGCAGCAGCGGCAGCGTACTCACGGTCAGCTGACGTGGGTTCAGCACGGAGGGCAGCAGGGGGGTCAGGGCAGGGGAGCGTACCGTCGATGTGAACGGCCAGGGAGTGGCCGTCCTGCCGCTGACCAGTTAGGTGTCGTTGGAGGTCGACGAGCCACGAGTCGAACTCAATCGGCTGCCCCTCCGCATCAAACCGCAGGACCGAGTCCGCCATCATGGCCGCTGCAGCAGCAGAAAGGCAGTACTGGGCAGTAGGGTGCGGTAATAAGCAGTGCAGAGTGGTTCCATGCGGTGTAGTGCGGTGCTGAGCGGTGCAGTGCGGTGTAGAGCGGTGCCAAGCAGTGCAGCGCGGTGCAGAGGGCCGAGGATGCCGGCGAGGTGTCTAGGAGACGGGGCCGCAGGCGGCAAGGCGACGGGGCCGGCTAGGCGAGGGGGCCAGCAAGGGGTACGGGGCCGTCTGGGCGACGAGGCCGGGGAGGAGGCGGGGCTGGCTGGGAGGCGGGGCCGCGGGGCCGCTATATGACGGGGCCGCTATGGGACTGGGCTGCAGGGCCGCTAGGTGACGGGGCCGCGGGGCCGCTAGGGGACGGGGCCGCGTGGCCGCTTGGTGACGGGGCCGCGGGGCCGCAGGGTGACGGGGCCGCGGGGCTGCTAGGGGACGGGGCCGCGGGGCTGCTAGGTGACGGGGCCACGGGGCCGCAGGGTGACGGGGCCGCGGGGCCGCTAGGTGACGGGGCCGCTGGGCCGCTAGGTGACGGGGCCGCGGGGCCACTTGGTGATGGGGTCGTGGGGCCGCTAGGGGACGGGGCCGCGGGGCCACTTGGTGATGGGGCCGCGGGGCCGCTAGGGGACGGGTCCGCGGGGACGCTAGGTAACGGCACCGCGGGGCGACGAGGCGGCTAGGACCTAGGGCGGTAGCACGAGAGGGGGGGGGGGTTTGGGGGGGGGGACCTACTTACTCATGATACCATGTTCAAGTGAAAGTATGACTTGAACAAGACATACACGGGAATATAACCTAATGGGCTGTGCTCCCTAAGGCACAACCCTATATGGTCTACAGAAACATACAATATATGTTTGACACTGTGTGTCACTTTCCAGGCACTGCCCCTCATCTGGCCTAGGGGGTGTTAAAAACATATTTGTATATATTATAATATGTTAGATAGGTGCATGCTCTTAGAGGGTACAACCATTTGAACAAAATCAACCTGTTTGCCTCATTCTAGTTAACTTTCTACTCTGAGAGTGGAACTAGATGATGGGTGTTTTGGGATGGCATCCAAAAAGGGCCTTAAGTTCCAGGTTTCCCGTCAAAGCACCCGAACCGGGTGTCTTGTAAATTGTGAATTTATGGCCTACACACATAGTAGGTCTGTTGGCCTGATTTTTCCAGAACGTTTGACATGTGTAGGGGTTTACGTAGTAACATGGCACTTTTGCTTTGCGTTTCCCAAGTGTAATCAAGGTGAGAAGTCTCAAAACTTACCCAATTTTTCAAGGATGCTAACATATCGTGCGCTTGTGAATGTATAGAGTAGCACGCTAGGTGACGTCGCTCCCATCTTATATCGACATTCACAACCAGGCTGCGCTATGCTCACAGATTCCACCCGGGAGTTTCCCTGGAGGCAGCAGCAGGACTGGAGCTTCCCCTACCGCAGGCATTAGTTTCGCTGCTCTCGATTGCCGTGCGCGTGGCGCATTCGCGTTGAAACGCGTCATATCATAGACGGAACGGGGCACTCGAGAGGCGGAACAGGCACGGCAGATACGACGAGGCGCCCTCAGCGCATGCGTCCCATCCCACGTAGCTCTTAGCATTCTAAACTCCCATCCACTGGGCAAAACTGCGGTTAACCATTGGGCGTTAGTCCTATGCGTAAGTCCGCAAACGTGTCCCATCGTACTACCGATTCTGCTATCAGCTGGCACTGGCAGTGATCTACCCAGCGTCTGCAATGGCCCTGCGAACGGCGTCCAAGCTCTGCGCTCTTCATTCCGCCGTGCTCCGCTCGTCCCCTTCCCCCGCCGCCGCCCTTCCCCCCGCTCTATTTCCGCCTCGCACTCTAGTACCCGCCCTCGAGGTTCAGGGCTTTGGCTTGCACGGGGCTCTTCCGCGCGCGGGGACAGGGCGGAGGGGCAGCAGGGCGGGGGAAGCGACGTTTGCGGTCAACGCGGGTCAAGGGGGCGTTGCGCGTGCCAGCAGCAGTGGCAGCAGTGGCAACAGCAGCAGCAGCAGGACCAGCAGCAGAAGCGGTAGCACCAACGCTAGCAGAACCAGCAGCAGCAGTAGCCGCGGCGGCAGCAGCAGCAGCAGGGGCAAGCGCGGGAACTCTGGCGAGAGACGCGGTGGCGGAAGGTTGAGTTCGGGCAGGTCGGACGGGGCCAGGGGAAGAAGGAGGCAGGGCGGGGAAAGGGGGCCAACTGGTTGCGCCGACGGGGAGAACCAGGGGTTACAGCGCGACTGGGGAGGCGTTCCGCCCGAGGGGGAGGTGTTAGCGCGGGGCCCGTCGCTCTCCCGTGGAGTGTGCCCTCCGCGGCCAGACAGAGATGAGGCGCGCGGGGGGGCGGGAAGCGACGGGGGGTTTGGGGAAGGAGAGAACAGCGGGGAGCAGCGGCGCGGGGGAGCGAGGGGGGGGCGCGGGCAGAGGGGCGGAAGGGCGCAGGTGGGGAGGGCGGAGGGGGGAGCGCGGGGGAGGAGTGGGGGAGAGGAAGCGGATTATCACCACTGGTGGGGGCGCAAGGGGAAGGACGCGTGGCAGCGCGGGGTGGGGGATGGCGCACTGGAAAAAATCCAAGAGGCATACGAGAAAGGCACGTGGGGAGGGGAGAAGCTGGGGACATGGGCGAAGAAGAAGCTGCAGCAGGGGTACGGATGGCGGGCGAAGGCGGCTGTGAAGGAGTGGGAGCTGATGGAGGCGCGGTGGATGCAAGAGGACCGCGAGAGACTCATCGCTGAGTTCAACGTGGTGTGGGACGAGGGGAGGGGGGAGGAGGAGGAGGGGAGGGGGAGGGGGGGTGGGAGAGAGAGTGTGGAGTGTGGTGGAAGGGGATGGGGATTCTGGGAGTGTTGGTGCGGGGATGGCAGAAGGGGGGGTGGAGGGCGAGGGAGAGGGTGCGGGGGAGGAGAGGGAGCGGAGGGGAGGGAGGCGGAGGAATGGGGAGTTTCTTCGGTTGATGGAGTCCGCTACTGGGGGGCGGATGAGGGAAGGCGGGATGGAGAGGGATGTTATGGATGGTGACAGTATTGGTAGTGATTATAGAGACAGTGCCGTTGTGGAGATTGGCCGTGATATCTTGAGTGACAGCACCGAGGGCAGCAGCAGCAGCAGCAGCAGCAGCAGCAGCAGGAGGGAGCGGGTATACCGAGCAGTGGAGATCGACCGGGCGGCATTCGTCCGGAAGTTTGTGGTGCCGGGGCTGAGGGTGCCGCCCGCCTCGTGCGGCCCACTGGTGAAGCAGCTGGCAGCAGCAGGGTGCCTGCTGGACTGGCCCCGCCTCAAGAACGTGGCGCGCGTGGCGGGGGATGGGGGGGATGGTGGGGTTTCAGGGGATGAGGCGCGAGTGGTGGGGGCTGGTGAGCAAGAGGTAGAGGGGCGAGGGGTTGAGGGTGGGGAGGGGGTAGAGGCGAAGAGAAAAGGGGACAAGCACAGGAGGGGAGACGGGCCGAGGGACGATGAGAGCACAGCACGGGTAGAGTTTCTGGGTACAGTGCCCTTGCCTGATGGCCTCCCCTGGCGAGACCAGGCTCCACGCTCCACCCCACCCCTGCATGCCACCAGCCATAGCACGAGCCAAGGCAGCAGGCAAGGCAAGCCTGCGAGTCGCATACTTCTGCTTCGCGAAGAGCTTCTTCACACGCCCGTGCACATGCTGCCGCCTGTGCTGCAGGTGACGTCGCCACCTGCTGCAACAGCACCACCCCTGGCGGCCTCACTGCTGGGCTAGGACGCACACCATCTCATTGTCATGCTTCATTCCTACGTCGTAGAATGGCGTCACTCCCGTCTCACTCACTGCTTCTCCCTGCTGTCGTTAACCCTACCAGCCAGCATTGCGTGCCAGCCACCTGCCATCCGCCCCTGGCCCCATCGTCCACTGCACCCCATTCACCCTCAACCGTAGCGGCCCCGCCTCTGTGCATGTGCGTGCTCATTCTCGCTTTCCCCCTGCCCTCATCTCGGGTGTTGTCTGCTGTGTGTGTGCGTGCAGACCATCCTTGGCACGGCGTCACCCCATGGTGGCACAGGCGAGGGAGAGCACGCGCCAACTGGTGCAGCGGCTGGTCAGGCGCGCCCATGTGATGCTGACAGCAGCGAGGGAGGGCAGGCTGGACGCAAGGACGGAGGAAGCAAGGAGGAGGCAGAAAGCACTGGGGAGAGAGACAGGAAGGGGGGGGGCAGGGAGGGGATGGTGGAGGGAGCGGAGATGGTGGCGTGTGGGGTGACGGTGGGGTACGAGTACTGGACGGCGGAGGACGTCCTCACGCACGTGCTGCCCAGCCATGTGCCGGTGCCCACGTCGTTTGAGAGCGTGGGGCACATCGCACATCTGAACCTGCTGGATGTGCACCTGCCGTACAAGCACCTCATCGCCCAGGTACCATGGGCTCACAGTCGTCTGCCCCGCACTCCCATGTCTTCGCCTCTTCTTCTCCCCCCATGCCATTCCTCTTCCTCCCCTCGCACCCTCTTCCATTTCGCCTCCTTACAGGTCGCTTTGGATTGCACACGCTGCATGCCCTTCTTCGGTCTTGAACAAGACAGCTGCCATCCATGCGACTATCCTCTCCCCCTCACTCCCTCTCCCACCTACTCCCGATACTGGTGCTTCTGGATAAGCATAATAAGCCACGATTCCTCTGCGTGCACAACATGTGAGCCACCATCCATGCGCCTGTCCTCTCCCCTCACTCCTTCTCCACCCCCTCTCCCTCTCCTCCCATTCATCCCCCACACCACAACAGGTGCTGCTGGACAAGCACAAGCCGCGCATCGTGTCAGTGGTGAACAACACAGCCGCGATCCACACATCTATCCCCTCCTCCCTCACTTCCCCTCCCCCACCCTCCCTCTCCTCCACCCATCCCCCACACTAGTTGCTCCTGGACAAGCATAAACCACGAGTCCTCTCCGTGGTGAACGAGACAGCCGCCATCCACGCCGTCTGTCACCTACCCCTCACTCGCTCTCCTCCCTCCCCCCTTCCACCCTCATCCCCCACACAGGTGCTGCTGGACAAGCACAAGCCGCGCATCCTCTCTGTGGTGAACAAGACGGCGGCCATCCATGCCGTGTACCGCACCATGAAGCTCGAGCTCCTGGCGGGCAGCTTCCGCCTCGTCACCACCGCCAGGGAGAGCGGGCTCGCCTTCAAAGTCGACTTCGCTCGCGTGTCAGTGTGCTCTTTTGCGCGTCTTGTGTGCTCTTGTGCCCCTTGTGACCTGCCCTGTGTTTCCGCCCCCTGCTCCGTGCGTCCACCCAAAGGACTCGCGTCATTGCCACCGCCAGGGAGTGCAGGCCCGCCTTCAAAGTCAGCATGGCCCGCGTGTCAGTGCTCTCTCGTGTCACATGTCCGTGTGCGTCTTGTATTGACCACTGGATGAATCCGATAGCGGCAAGCATGGAGGAACCGGCAGCATCTCATGTGGTGCACTGTCTTGTCTAGTCTGCGACTCGCTGTCAGCTTCTTCTCATGGCTTCTTGCTCCACTGCCCACACTGTGTCGCTCCGCTCTCCCCATCTGCTTCCTCCAACGCCGGATCCCCTCACCATGCGCTTGCCCTTGTTGTGCTGGATCACAGACGTTGAAGCTGATATGATATGACCCCACATTGCACCCTGACATGTCTTTAAATCCGCACATTGCACCCTGACATGTCTTTAAATCCGCACATTGCACCCTGACATGTCTTTAAATCCGCACATTGCACCCTGACATGTCTTTAAATCCGCACATTGCACCCTGACATGCCTTTACGTCCCGCCCATTGCACCATGTGTGTCCTCGCCATCTGCAGCTATTGGAACTCTCGTCTGGCCACGGAGAGAGCGCGCCTCGTGTCAACCTTTTCCTCGTCCGATGTTGTCTGTGGGTGCCCTGACTCCCATGCATGCCATGCCCCGCATTCTTTCAACCCTTCCCGCCACCAACGTTGTCTGTGGGCCCCTTAGTCCCTCCCCAACAGCCATGCATTCGTCCTGTTCGCATGCCCCCTGTGCCATGTTCCCCAATCTCACGGTGTTCTCCTTTTCACCATAATCTTGAGGAAGAGGGGGCGGGGGGTGGGGAAGGGGGGGAGGGGGAGGGGGGCAGTGGGTCCTTCATTCGTCTACCAGTTTTCTCTGTTGGTGACTCCACAAGCCATGCCCTTACCAATGCTCATGCCATTGCCTGCCGCGGGCTGCAGCGACATGAGTGTTGCAAACGCCCTCAATCCTCGTAGCCCTGGTCACCATGCCCCATCCTTCACGACCAGGTGATATGGCCGCACAAGTGGGAGCAATGGCCACTGCTGCGGCAGGGAGAGTGGAGCAAGTATATGCCAAAGCCCTCAACCCTGCTGTTCTCTCCTTTTTCGGCAACCATGTCCCATGGTCTTCAATTGCATTGCAGGCGACGTGTTTGCAGGAGTGGGGCCGATTGCCATCGCTGCAGCGAAGAGGGTGAAGCGCGTGTATGCCAACGACCTCAACCCCTCGGCGCTCACCTTTCTCGCGCAAAACATCATTGCCAACCGTGTGGAGGGGAAAGTCGAGGTGAGGCTGGGGGTAAGGGGAGGCAGGATCCATGCAACTGCGTTCCGTTACTGCTCCAACAGCACTGCCCCCCTGTCGCTACCTTCCTGCATGCACAGTACGGATGCAAGCACTAGCACGCGTGCCTGATTTTGCACACATCCGTTCCCAACTACTGAGCTGTGCCTCCCTCATCCTCCTGTCGTTCTCGCTGGCTTCCCCCACCATCAACTGTCTGCCAGCTAAGGGTGTCTCTCTAACAGCTTCTGCACCACCTGCTTTCTCTGCCATTCTGCAATAAAGTTGCCTTTCTCCGCTGCTGCCACACCCAAAACGTCTGCGTTTCAACCGCTCCTGTATCTCACACCCACCGATTCGACCCGTCAGCAGTGCGTGCCCTGCTCCCGACACCTCCCCAATACCCCGAAGTGTCCTTCCTCTCCTGTCCACACCCCCCCCCCTTCCCCCCTCCCAAATCGCCCCTCCCCACCGTCAGATATTCAACTTGGACGGTCGTGATTTCATCAGGCACCTGCTGTCTCTGCCCCGCCCGGTGCAGATGAGTCGGGTGGTGATGAACCTCCCTGCAGACGCCATTGAGTTCCTGGGTGAGACTCCTTGCTCCTCCGCACTGCGCTCTCTCCTCCCTGTGACAACTTCTGACTGCGCTGGCTTGGCATAGGAACCTCCCTGCAGATGCCATCAGATTCCTGTGCAGAAATTTACAGAACCTCCTCGTACACCATCCATCATCCAACTTCCTCATTCCTGTTTCTTCCTTCACCGCCTGATTCCACTCCACCCCACTCCACTCCACCCCACTCCACTCCACCCCACTCCACTCCATCCCACTCCACTCCACCCCACTTCACTCCACTCCACTCCACTCCACCCCACTCCACTCACCCCGGCAGATGTTCTGAAGGGCGCATTCCCTCTGGCAAAGTGGGGCACGAGGACACCTCCGCCCATCGTGCATGTCTATGCCTTCTCCAAGGCTGCTGACCCCGAGCTAGACCTCTCCCAGGTGCGCTGCCGCCTCCCGCCCTCCTGCGTGTGTTGCCCACCTGCCGTTTCCTCCACTCTCTCGGCTTCCTGCCTTGGAATGCTGGCCCTTTGCTGTATTGATCGTGCACGTTTTTACTGTCTAGTGGTTTTGCCTGCACGCTCTTCACGGCTCTCCTCCCCACCCGCGTCCTCCCCCCCTCTCTTCCACCAACAGCGGATATGGTCAGTCCTAGGCCACACCATGACGGACATTGACTTCCACAGGGTGCGCCTTGTGGCGCCATCCAAGTGGATGGTTTGCTGCTCCTTCAGGCTGCCACCCACTGTAGCATTCGATTCCTGGTGATAGGTACCTAGGTATGCATTGGTGTATGGGAGAATACATTTGATTCAGTGGCTTCATGGCATGCTTGTTGATTACTTGTACGGTATTTGGTCGACCTAGAGAACAGTTACCATCAAGGCAGGAGTGAGGTGAGCACAAGGAACCACACTCCGGCATGTATCGTCAATTGTGATTGACAGATGGCTATAATTCGCTTTGCCTAAAAACTACAGTTCAAGCATGCAGTATCAGAAAAATTGAATGATGGTAAAGATGAGAGTACACACAAATATACCTAAGTGTTGTACCCTCTAAGCGGTAACCCTATACAGTCTATACAAACATAACAAATACAGACGTTTGACACACCCCCTAGACTGCATAGGGGAATACCCTAAACAAGCAGCTCAGGGCGGCACTACTACTCCAACCTCTGAGACAAGGGTCTGAGAGACCAGTCAGAAGGAGTACAGACAAGGCAAGAACAAGAGCAGGGCGGCACTACTAGTCCAGCCACTGGGAGAGGACACAAGTCCAGTCTGAGTATACATATAAAGGACAGTACAAGTCAAGGTCCTAGCAAGTGAGAAGCAACAGGAACTAGACCAAGCTGTACACAGTGCCGCTGATGATCTTTAGGCGCAAGCGCCTTCGTAAAGATATCAGCTGTGTTGGCACCTGAGGCCAAGTGTACTACGCGAGCCTGACGTCGCTGCTGTAGCTCACGCAGGAGGAAGTACCGCAACTGAATGTGCTTCGCTCTGCCCTCGAGTCGAGGCTCCTGACACAGGAGGATCATGGCCCTGTTGTCAGCGAACAGGACTGGGGCAGAGCTCGGCCGCTCACCTAAGTCAGTGAGCAAGAAGGTCAGCCAGCGGAGCTCCTGTGCCGCCATGGCACCAGCGTAGATCTCAGCCTCACAGCTGGACTGCGCAACAGACGAGGAGCGGGTAGCTCTCCACGAGACGGCACCTGAGCCAAGGCTGAAGCAGTAGCCCTGGGTAGACCTGAGTGTCTCAGCGTCGTCTGCCCACGAAGCGTCTGTGTGCCCAGTAAGGACCGCTGGCCTGCGTCCTCCTAGCACTAACCCCATGCCCGATGTACTAGCAAGATAACGCAGAACCCTCTTAGCGGCAGACCAGTGCTGCGGTCGGTGTCTGCCTGTGGCCACAAAGCGAGCCAGGATGCTGAGAGGGTATGCGAGATCTGGGCGAGTGCAAGTCATCAGGTACATGAGGCAACCCACCAGCTCTGCGTAGGGGCCGCTGGGCTCTACCAACTCCTCAGGCACTGGAGCGGAGAGCCTGTGGTCTACAGGCAGAGGGGTGGGCTGTGCAGAGGAGAACTGAAGGCTGAACCTCTGAAGGACCTGGCGCACCAAGTGTGACTGAGTCAGGGTGATGGTGCGCGCAGCTCTGTCCCTGGAGATCTGCAAGCCAAGGTAACGGCGCAGTTCTCCAAGGTCAGTGCAGGTGTGTCTCTTCAGCAGCTCTGCCTTCACGGAGGCCAGCGCGTCCCTGTCTGCTGTGGCAAAGACCAGGTCGTCGACGTAAACGAGGATGTAGAACGGAGTCTGGCCAGCACGAACGAAGAGTGAAGGGTCTGCAGAAGACGGAAAGAACTGCAGGTCAGCAAGCGTAGCACGCAGAGTGTCGTGCCACTCACGGGGAGCCTGGCGCAGGCCGTAGACGGGGCGCGGCAGGAGCCACTGGGTCCCAGGAGGGAAGGTGCCAGTAAAGCCCGGAGGGCGGCGCAGGTAGACCTGCTCGTGTAGGCTGCCCTGAAGGAAGGCAGTGGAGAAGTCGAGGGAGTGAAGCTCGTAGTCACGCTGAGCAGCTAGGTGTAACAGAACCCGAAGAGTAGTCATCTTCGGGGTCGGAGCGAAAGTCTGGAAGAAGTCCACCCCCTCGCGCTGACTGAAGCCTCTAGCCACATAGCGCGCCTTGAAGACAGGCGGCTCTCCAGGAGGGCGCTTCACCTTGAAGAGCCAGCGGCAATCGACTACGTTCACCCCAGGCGGGGGAACTGCGTCGACGAAGGTGCCGGTGGATCTCCAAGATGCCATCTCCTGCTCCATGGCAGCTATCCACTGCGAGGCCCAGGGTCCCGAAGTCGCCTCAGCGTAAGTGCGAGGGGTCCGGATGTCGAAAGCGTCTGGGTCACCCTCAGGGACTAGCAGCATGGAACAGAGATGGGGAGCAGCCTCGGAGAGGAAAGCAAGCTCGAACTGGCGGTCCTCCAGGACGTCACTGCCAAGGGCAGGAGCACCCCCGACAGACGGAGGACAGGCAGGGTCAGAGACCAGAGCGGTGGCGTAGTCAAGGCGGCGGGTAGAGGCGAAGTCAGCGACAGCAGCGACAAGAGCGTCAAGGCACGAGACTGGAACAGACGGGTCGGTAACGAGAGAGGCAAGGACCCGAGGAACAAGAGGACGAGCGGCACGAAGGTAGTCGGACAGCGGGGGGGGCGCAACAACAAGGGAGGACGGAGGAGGCGACGGCAGAAGGGGAGGACGAGACGCGTGTGAACGAAGCAACATAGGGTGGGAGCGCAGGACAGGCGAGGCAGGACGAGCACGGGAGGGACGGTGAGACCAGACGTGCGATGGAGGAGTCGGGTCAGGAGACAGGGGAGGGGACACAGGAGGGGAACGAGGGGGGAGACGGGCCGGGGACGAGTCCGGCGGAGGGAAAACAGGGCCGTAGACAGGAAGAGGAGGAGACGGTCGGGGAGGAACCGACGCAGGGTCGGGGGACGGAAGGCCGAGCAGGCGAAGGGCGGACACCGGCGGGGACTGCTGCTGCGGCGGCACAACGGCGACACCTGGACCGCAAGCTGCTCCTCGGCTACCACCGGCACTCTCCACACCCGCACCCCCAGAGGGACCACCCTCAGGGCGACCGGGACGAGCACCCCCAGAGTCAGCGAACGGGGGCTGCGACTGCGGCGGCGGCGGCGGCGGCGGCGACGGCGACGGCTGCAGTGGCGGCAGGGACGGCGGAGGAGGGGACTGGGGAGGGGACACCTGGGGAGGGGCGGCCGGCGAGGACTGCACCGGAGGGCCACCAGAGTCAGAAGACTCCTCAACCGGGTCCACGGACGGAAGGGGGGTGACATGGGAGACACCAGAGGGGGCGGGACGGGGAGGAGGAGGAGGAGGGGCAGGGACTACCGGGGAAGGGGTGACCAGGAACAGGGGGGGGTAACCGGGGGACCACGGTGGGGGAAGCGGCGGTAGTAGGAGACGGACTCGTCAAAGGTGACGTCACGAGAGTGAAAGAAGCGGTGAGACGGCGGGTGGTAAAAGTGCCAGTCGGACGCGTCAAGGGGAAAACCGAGGAAGACGCAGGGAAGGGTGCGGGCAGTGAGCTTGTCCGTGCCGGAGGCACGGACGTGAGCAAGGCAGCCCCAGACGTGGAACGCAGACGCGTCACCAGGAGACCCAGTCCACAGACGGGTCGGCGAAACCTGCGGCTGCTGAGGGTGCGGCCACAGGTTAAGCTGGTGAGAAGCGTAGCGCACAGCGAACGGCCACAGAAAATGGGGTGCACCGGCATGGACCATGGAGGTGCGAGCGACCTCCATGACCAAGCCGATGCGTCGCTCAGCGACCCCATTCTGCTGTGGGGAGTCCGGTAGGGTGAACGTCTGGGTGATGCCCTCCGCACGACAAAAGCGACCAAGGACACCTGAGGCAAACTCGCCACCACGGTCTGAGTGAAGACGCAAGACAGGGAGACCGCGGTGGACACGCGCAGAGACAAGCCAGGGGATGAGGGCGCCAGGCACGTCGGCCTTGCGCTCCAGGGGAAAGACTGTGGTGTAACGAGTGAAGTCGTCGACAAGCACAAGGAAGTAGCGCTCGCGACGCGGCCCAGGGACGGGGGCGGGGCCCCAGACGTCCAGGTGCAGGGTCTGCAGCGGCGCGGCGGTAGGGGGGAACGAGGAGGAGTGAGGGGCACGGCGAAGCCGACCCTCGACACAAGGCGTGCAAGGTGGAGCTGGGGAGGAGGGAAACGCGGGGAGTGAACCTGGGAGACCAAGGACAAGACCGTGCTGGGACATGTGACGCAGACGCGGGAGCGCAGGGTGACCTAGGCGGTGGTGCCACAGGAGGGTCGGGTGAGTGAGGGAGCGACAGGAGCAGGCAGCAGCAACCTGGGTAGACACAGCCACCTGAGGGGGCGCTCCAGCCGGGGGGGGCACGGTGTCCAGAGTGAACAGACCGGACACCGGGTCCCGGGGGAACGTGGACAGGGGGGCACCAGTGGCGGCCTCGGTACAGACAGCATACCGCTCGTGACCAGGGAACGTAGTGGTGACGCCAAGGTCCTGGAGGCAGCCGACACCAACTAGGTTCCTGGAGAACGAGGGGATATGCAGACCTGTAAGAGAGCCCGAAGGAACCGCCGGACAGGGAAGGGTGGTGGAACTGCGGGCGACTACCGGGCCGCCGGAGGGGTCAGCAAGCGAAACGGCAGCAGGAACAGGAAGCGGCGTCAGGGTGGTGGAGTCGCGAAAGAAACACCGAGAGGCGCCAGAGTCCAAGGTGAAGGAAAGCGAAGCCGAGGGGTCTGGCGACGGAACGACGGCAGAAGCACCAAGACTACACAAAGCAAGGGATCCTACGCCTGACGCAGCAGGGGAGGCTAAGCTAGGCACACCTACACTAGGCAACAGTGAGTAATAAGTCGGAAGCACACTAGAGTCATCAGCATACATCACATGCAGAGCAGAAACAATGGCATCCATGTCCATATCAAAGATCTGAATCTGACGACTAAGCAAACTGTGCCAGTCCGGGAGGTCTGGCGACGGGCCGAAACGCTGACGAAAGAGGTCGTCCAGGCGACGAAAGCAGCGGGGAGTGGAGTGACCGATCTTACCGCAAACGAAACCGCGGCGAGGACCGGTCTGGATCTGGTACTGACAACGCCCGCCGGCAGAGCCACCACGCGGCACACCACCACGCGCCCGTCCACCGCCAGCGCCGGGCCACCCTGGCGGGAGAACACTCGTCTGCCGCGTCTGCGACGGCTGCTGCGGCTGCTGCGAAGGCTGCGACTGCGGCGGCTGCTGCGGCTGCTGCAACTGCAGGGGCGGCGACTCAGCTGGACTGGGCAGGGTCCCCTCGTCCGCTCCAGCACCAGGCGACCCGACCCCACCACTACCCCCGCCCGCACCCCCGCCGCCCCCTCCGCCG